TTCTCCCTCTCCCACTCCCCCTGCTTGTGTTCCCTCTCTCACTGTGTCTCTCTCTGTCAAATAAATAAATAAAATCTTTAAAAAAAAAAAAAAAAGTGTAACACACCAAGTGAGGTTTATCCTGAGAACACAAGATTAGTTCATTATTTGAAAACCAAGCAATGTAATCTATCATACAAGTAGTCTAAAGAAGAAAAACTATATGATAACACATCAGCATTTTAAAAAATTCAACATCCATCTATGACTAAAAACAAAAACAAAAACGCTCTCAGCAACATGGGAATAGAAGGGAACTTCCTCAACCTGATAAAGAACATGTACAAAAAACTGACAGCCAACATCATACTTAATCATGAAAGTTCCAATGCTTTTTTTGCTCAGGAAGAAACAGAAATGTCCACTCTCGCTCTTTAAAACACTGTGTGGATGTGTTAGCCAGTTCAGTCCAGCAGTAAAAGTAAATTAAACGGCATACAGATTGGCAAGAAGTCGAACTGTCTCTGTCTAGTTGCAAGCAATTTGATTATCTCCATATAAAATCCAAAGGAATGTACAAAGCAGCTCTAGAACTAACAAATGAGGTTAGCAAAGTTGTGGGATACGAAGTCAACACATAAAAATCAATCATAGTTCTATATACTGGCATCAACAAATGTAAAACAAAATTTTGGTTGAAACAGATAGATGCCCAAGTGAAAAAATTTGAACCTTGATGTAAACCTCATACCTTATATAAAAATTAATTCAAAATAGATCATAGATGTAAATGTAAAACATAAACCTATAAACCTTCTAGAAGAAAACACAAGAGAAAAACTTCATAAGCTGGGGTTAGGCTATGTGGCCTCCGCAGGAATTATCACTGCCTTGAAAGATCTTCCTCACTTATTCGCTCACTTATTTTAGCGTCTTTCAACCCTCTACCCAAATCAGAACGTGGACTGTCATGCTCCCACTGCATAAGTCGCATCTAAAATATGTCTAGTAAATCGTCAACTCTTGAGAACATTTCTAGGGCGCCTGGGTGGCTCAGTTGGTTAAGCGACTGCCT